AATCAGCAAAAGCGCTAAGAGAGGAAGCTCAAAACGTGCTCTTCAAAAAGCTGCCCTCTTTCTACCAAAAATAAACCTATCCCTTCCGGAAGCATGGGTGTCCAAATAGGGAATTTTTAAGTGTCACAATTTTAGGTTGGGTACCATGGTACCATCGAGGAAGGGAAAGCAGAAATATGTAATTGGACCAAAGCAGGGAACTGTTATTATTTATAGTCAAATGTTTAAATAAATAAGCACAATTATTGTTAGGGGGTACTGTGAAAATAAAATCCTGAAAACTGCGTGAGTGTTTATGAACCTTACTGACTCGATTGGTAGATGGAGGTACCTTTATTTTAGGGAGAAAATTAATCCCGTAACAAGGCATATGGTAATTGGACGCACCCACAGTAGCGTTTGTCTGAACCTGTATGAAAACAGATTACTTACTGCGAAGACGGTTGGGTTGGCGTGCACCCCGGAACACTATTTACGTAATTTTTTGTGTACAGCTTTTTGAATGGTAGTAATAAGGTAATTTTTTTAATTTCAGTGAAATTAGTTTGATTCAAGTTGCACGATATTTTTTTAGATATTATTTGTCAAAAACAATATTGATTGTATTGTAATACATACTTGGTTTTGTGTTGTTTAATTCAAAATATAGTTGCTCTTCTTTTTCTGGAAGGCTTGTGGATATATTTATTTCTGGAAAAAAATGATCATTGTAGATTGCAAATATTTTAGGCTGATATTTATGTTTGGCATCTTGCTCATATCCAAGATAAAAATGAAAATAAATTTGTTTGCTTGATTATTGAGTAGTTGAATGTGCAACTAAATGTCAAACTAAAATAAATGCGAAAAAAGCTTATGTTTAGATTTTTGATTTGAGATTTACCTGCATCTTTACCAACTAAAGGTGGAGACTCATCGGCAGCAATGACTGCTGCGGGAGTTGTTTGAACTGCAAGAAATAATATGGTCGTAGAAATCATAACGTCTGAATTGATTTAGTTAACCCATTTTTTTTTAAACAGTTTTACATGGAACAAAGAGTAGGTGATAAATAATTTAATAGGTTTTCCTAACTTAAATACTTACGTGATATTAATTTGAAAAAAATGTATTGGATAGTTTTCAATTAAGATATCGCTCTTATTTAACCATTATTATATGTACAGAGAGGTCATTGGTACAGAGTGTTTCATATTCGTAACAGATCATTGGGATTTCGGAAAAAGTGAGAGGTACAAGGTTAGTTGAATTAGAGCAAAGTTGCGCAATTTGATGCTTAACAAAATGTCGCATTTCTATTCAGGATATTCCGAATACATCTGCAGCTATCCGGAATTCTTTCAAAATTGTTTCTATTATTCCATATCCAAGAATTAAAATGAAAATAAATTTATTTGCTTGATTAATGATTATTGAGTAGTTGAGGAGTTGAATATGGAACTAAATCTCAAACTAATATAAAAAACCTATGTTTAGATTTTTGATTTGGCAATTACCTGCATCTTCACCAACTAATTGTGGAGACTCATCAGCGGCAGTGACTGTTGCGGAAGCTGTTAAAACTGCAAGAAATAATATGGTCGTAGAAATCATAAAGTCTGAATAAATTTAGTTAACCCATTTTTTTTTAAATAGTTTTACATGATCATGGAACAAAAAGTAGGTAATAAATAATTTATTAGGTTTTGTAATTTAAATACTTACCTAATAGTAATTTTAAAAAATTGTATTAGGTAGTTTTCAATTAATATCTGTCTCATTTAACCATTATTATATGGACAAAGGGCTTCAAATTTCTGACAGATCATTGGGATTTCGGAAACAGTGAAAATTACATATTACACCAGCAGGGGTTGTATTTTTGAATTTATTCGAGTAGGTACATTTCGTACACGGAATTTGACTGACAGCAATGTAAATTAAATGGGGAGCATTCGAAATCGTATCCAATTTCGTATGCGAGAATATTCGAAAATACGACCCCAGGGGTGCGATTTTCGAAACCATTCGAGTACATTTCGTACACGAAATTTGACTGACAGCAATGTAAATTAAATGGGGAGCATTCGAAATCGTATCAAATTTCGTATACGAAAATATTCGAAAATCGGACCCCTGAATACCTGTTATCTATTTTTTTAGGGAACACTAACGAAGTTAGAAGGTTTGTGGATATATTTATTTATGGAAACAATACACAATGAACTAGATAAGTTTTAAAAATTACAAAAAAACTGATCATTGTAGATTGGAAATATTTTACATTGATATTTATGTTTGGCATCTTGCTCATAGGTATCCAAGAATTAAAATGAAAATAAATTAGCTTGCTCGATTATTGAGGAGTTGAATGTGCTGTGCAACCTAATCTCAAACTAATATATGTAAAAAGCCTATGTTTAGAATTTTGATTTGGCAATTACCTGCATCTTCACCAACTAACTGTGGAGACTCCTCGGCGGCAATGACTGCTGCGGAAGCTGTTAAAACTGCAAGAAATAATATGGTCGTAGAAATCATAACGTCTGAATTAATTTAGTAAACCCATTTTTTTTCTTTAAAATAATTTCATATGGAACAAACAGTAGGTAATAAATAATTTAATAGGTTTTGTTAATTTAAATACTTTTACGTAATATTAATTTAAAAAAAAAAATTGTGTTGGGTAGTTTTTAATTATGATCTTAGTCTTATCTAACTATTATTATATGTACAGAGTGCTCCAAATTCATGACAGATCATTGGGATTTCGGAAGCAGTTACGTAACTTTATGCTTATCAAAATGTCGCTTTCATATTCAGGATATTCCGAAAACTTCTGGAGATATCCGAATTTTTTTCAAAAACGTTTCTATTTTTTTTATTTTATTTAAAGTGATATACCTATTGGAAATTAATGGAAACGGTGAGGTCTAATATGTGGATTGTAAATTTAAGGGGTGGTGCGCTGACCAATTAAAAGTCCCGATCACCAATAATCGCCATCCAGATTCTAACTCAAATCTTGAGGTGGTAAAAAAAACCCTATGCCACGAAAAGCCTCTAATGAAAACAGGAAGAGATAATAATGAAGAAAAACTAAGAAAGAGACAAACCAAAGGGAATAGACACAAAGAAAGGATGCGCTTCCAAAAAGGTTCGAGAAATTATTTTATTTGATGTAAGAAAACATGTGACCAAATTAGGAAAAAAATATGTTGCTAAAAGAAAATAACAGTTTACTTCGAGAGAAAAATGTTTAAGGTATTGATGAGACTTGTACAAAAACAGATTCCATTGATCAGATCTTCTGGATGAAAATTATAATTTTTTTTTTGTGTGAAAATTTATCAAAAAATTTAAAATAAAGATTCACTTAAAGTGAAAAGGTATTTATTTCTTTATACCAACTAAAGTATTGCACATACTATGCACTACGCGAATTATGAATAAGAACCTCAAGAAGTCCTTGCTGGATTTCATCGTTATTTCATGTCTGCGAGAAAGAATATACGCTGACTTGCATCAAGCAAACCGAAAACAATACATCCAATGATCAATCGATTGGACAAATCCAATCAATGGGTATTCGCCCTTCCAGCCACAAAAGCTATTGAACTTAAATGCTTTGGATAGGAAGAAATCCGGATAATCATTGGAACTTACCTAAATATATTCCAAATACCAATAGATTGCCAAATAACAGTGATAATCAATGGAAAAAAACTCAGCAGATAAAATATTCAACATACTAAATATCTCCTGATTTCTCAAAAGACCTATAACTGGATAACCTGCATCAACCAGCTACTGAGATCATGAAAAACCGTTCTCAATTGAACGTCAGTGAAATCTAGAAACTATATTGATATACTCCCTGATCTTCGTTGGCTTCGCTATTATTGCCAACGAGAAGGTAGTGCCGAAGCCCAGAAGCAAGAACAACCATTCTGAAGAGGAACCCGAATTCCAAATCAATCCAATTTCTCCGCTTAGACGAAGAGAGGAGTTATATCATGCTAGACAGATGACCTCTAATAAAAGATGCTGAACAAGCTTTCCAGCTTGATATCACAGTTTTTGATATAGGTATACCATACCGCTTGATGTGGCTCTTCGGTCAGTTGAACGCTCGTGATTATTGTACTTATTTTTTTACCTTATACTATTGTACCGCATTTCGCGAATTGACACTTTGTAATTTAGGAATAAAGTTGTTTTTCAAAAGTTTCTTATCGGCAGTCGGCACAAGGTTTGATAACTCATGCGTCCCTTATGCGTGGCTAGAAATTCACGCACGTGTTGTAAACATTAGTCTAGGAAAATTGTCGATTTTCTAAAAAATTCCTACTCCTACCCAAATGAATTTTTCAGGGATGATAGGGGGCGGGTGGGTGATCATAAAACCGAAGATATTACACATTCACCTCTCTGGCGTTTTGCGCTATAGGGGTTGAAAGTGCGCCATTGGCGATTACTTGGTACCTATTGATTTTACAAAAAAATGTTTCAAATAAAAAATGTGCAACATTATTTGATCAACAAAATGTTTATCTAAAGACTTCGGCAGGGGGTGAGTAAAAACTTCATTAAGCAAAAACGTTGTATGTGTTATAGAAATTTTTTTCATGTTGGTAAAAAAAAATTATTTTCATTATAAATTTCAAACGGCCCTTATGACCACAGACGGCCCTTAGTCAAAAAAGTCTTCAGATAAACATTGTAGATCAAATAATGTTGCACATCTTTTATTTGAAACAATTTTTTGTAAAATCAATAGGTACCAAGTAATCGCCAATGGCGCACTTTCAGTCCCTATAGCGTAAAACACCAGAGGGGTGAATGTGTGATATCTTCGAATTTATGATCACCCACCCGCCCCCTATCAGCCCTGGAAAGTTCATTTGGGTAGGATTTTTTTTTTGCAATGCATGTATTTTTCGACAATTTTCCTAGACTACATAGGCAATGATAGATTAAATGAAACTTTTTGATAAATTAGATACAGTTTATCTGACAGATTAATATGAAGTGTTGTTATGAAAAACAAGTTTGTGGAAAATTTTCTATGAGCATTTATTCAGTTATTGCTATTCTGTGAATATGGAGTGTTTGATAATCAGTGTAATTTTGATTTTATGTGAGTTTAGCCAAGTAAGTATCCATTACCTATCCATCTAAAATGATATAGCTATACAGAGATTAGGGTGACAATTAAAACTGGTTCGGCAAAAATATTGGTGAAAAACTAGAATTATCGGGGGTTGTCTAATCTCAAACATATAGTTTAAGATCACACATGGAATTTTTATAATTATTATTGTCAGGGCTCCCGCCAGACCTGAAGCCGCCTGCGTGCGATTTCATGTTTAGGCGCCCCCTGGCCCCTAGTCAGAGTTGGCGATTAAAAAAAAAGCGCAATAGTTTTTGGAGTGGCATTGTAATATTGCGTGGGTTCAAGGTTGTCATGTAACGTAACCGTAAAGACGTAACATAAGTTATAAGCTTGCACACATTAGATTTATTTGCGTCAAATATGTCACCGGAAACGCAACGTAAGAGATAACCAATTCTCATCCTGTCTTACGTTGCGTTTCCAGTGACATATTTGACGCAAATAAATCTAATGTGCGCATGCTTAGGACCTATGTTAGGTCTTTACGGTTTTGCAGCCCAATTCTCGCTTGATAAGCACAAGGGCGCAGGGCGTGGTTCTATTAATTTTTACTCTTTGTCACTCATATAAGAAGATTTCACATAGAACATGGAACTGAGAAGGACGAAGGACAGGGCGCACTTGTTCCCAGACGAGCGCTGGGGGTTTCGAGAATCAGGTGCAGGGGCGTAGTCCCCGGTGTTCCGCGGGTTCCATGCAACACGGCCCGGTACCTCAAGGGGCCCGGTTCTAGATATCAATATTATTTTTTCCCTAGTGAATAAAAAAAAAAACTATTTCACACATTTGACGATAATTTATATAAAAATAAAAAATATCTATATCTACGTAGGTAAAGTCTTAATTTCTTACATTCTTATGTAGATTTATAATGATTTCTTTTATTCTTTTATGAAAACTTTTCGAGTTTACCGCTGGTCGCGTATCGTACGGCCGAACCACTTCATAGTATGCCAGAATTGCCAAGTATGCCAATTCAAGATCCTGCAATCCCTGCGTTGTGGTTTGTTGTGCTGCCCTCTAATTAATTAGGTCAGTTAAGCCTAGTACTCATAACAGCGAAATTCGCTCTTTTTTGACATTGCTTCGACAATTTCACTTTTTATGCGTGAATCAAACGTCAAATTTTCGAAGCAATGTCAAAAAAGAGCGAATTTCGCGGTTATGAGTACTAGGCTTTAAGCTTTAATTTGAAGGGCCGGTTTCTCAATAGCGAATCACCACCGGGTTGGTTTTAACTCCAAGGTAAGTGTAAGAAGTTGCAATGTTTACCCTGGAGTTATGCCTAACCCAGGGGTGACTTGCTATTGAGAAATCGGCCTTTAGGGTATGTATAACATGATATTGCACATAAAATATGTCTAGAATTTTCCGCAGAATCAAAAAATGTCATGATATACAGAATGTACGATTTAAAAAAATAAAGTTGATAACGGTACGGTACAGCTGTTCTTGGAACCACCTGTATAAAAAAATTGGTGTGAAAAAATCTCAAGCAAAAAAACAAAATCGACGTGTCCAAGCGGTTTTTCCAAAACGCCTTTATTTATTTTATATTGAATATGTTCCATACTTTCGTTCACCCTGCATATTTAGAAAAAAAATATATATATATATATATATATATATATATATATATATATATATATATATATATATATATATATATAAATGGAAGATATTTTCTGGGGTATCAGTCTGGGTCTAAATAAAAGTCTTAAAACTTTTTAGCTACGCCGAGCTTTCGAAAATTTTTATTTTCTTCTTCAGGGCTATATAAAAAGAATAATATTTATACAAATAAATATTAAAAGGAAGGCTTACTTACTGCTATGTGTTTTAAATTGAAAAAATATCATTTACAAGAAAATTTGGCATACTTTTTAAATAAATTGTTACAATCTGACTTTTTTAGTATTACTTTCAGGTATGAGTATGATCTGAAATTTACAAATAACAATGGTTCAAGAAATGGTGGAAATGTTTTTTTAAGAAAATTTCAACATTATTCTAAAGAAAAGTTGGTTTATATTTTGATAAATTTATAAAAGTGATATATTTTGACTATAAGTGAAGTTATTATTATTTATAGGTTTCATTGTTAGAATATTTGAATAGATAATGCTTAAATCATCTATGTCTGATCTTTTATTCATAGAATTGTTATTTAAAAAGATTTCAACCATCTCTAAAAACAATATATTATTATAATTTTGTTCCCTATGTAATATTTTGGTTTCATTATAATTAAAACTATGATCTAATTCATTGAAATGTGTAGATAATATAGAAGTATTTTTTCCTAATCTACAATCACTTTTGTGAGAAGTGATTCTATCTTTTAAAACTCTGGATGTTTGACCTATATAACAATTTTCACATTGGTTACAAGGAATACTATATACAACATTCGAAGATTTTAGATTTTCCTCTTTGTCTTTAATTTTTGTAAATAATTTCCCGATTGTTTTAGTTTGTTTATTTGCGATTTTTATTGATGGTGTATTTTTAAATAACTTGGTGATTTTATTAGAAATTTCTTTTATAAAAGGAATAGAAAAATAATAAGTTTGTAAATTAGTAGGTAAAGGAGTTCTATCTTCGGTGTTATTATTATTTTCTGTATCTGTATGTTCCAAAGGATTAATAGAAATTGTGTTATAAATCAATTTTTTCAAGAATTTGGGTGGGTAAGAGTTATTTATTAATATATTGTAAAGTTTTTTGAAATTATTGTTTTTTAGTGATGGATGTGAAATTTTCTCAATCCTTGTTTTTAATCCTATAATTAGGTTAATTTTGGTTTTAGTGGTATGATATGAATGGAAATTCATGTATCTTCCAGAACTAGTTGGTTTGAAGTACCAATCTAATATTATTTTATTATCATGATTTCTAATTACTTTCGTATCTAGGAAAGGTAAACTTTTGTTTTCTTCCTTTTCTAAAGTGAATTGTATATGTGAATTATAGCTATTGAATATTTCTAAAATTTCTTCTATATTATCATTCGGTACTGATGTTATGATGTCGTCCGCGTATTTTTTTAAAAAAGGCACTTCAAAAGATAATTTAGGTAAACAAGCATCAATTAGATCATCCATTACATATTGTGAAATTATAGGTGATATAGTAGCTCCCATTGGAGTCCCTAATAGTTGTTTGTAAAAAACATTATCAAATTTACAGTAAGTTGTATCAAATATAAACTCCAATATCTTTAAAAAATTGATTTTTGTTAGAGTAGTGTTATCTTTAATTTGATCCCAATGTTTTCCTATACTAATCTCTACCAATTTATAAGGTATATTGCTGAACAAAGAGACAACATCTAAACTAATTAGGACATAATTTGTAGGTAAATATTTGTCATTTGCAACAGAAAGCTAATAAATTAGTTAAATATATGAAAGATCATGGACAACTGAATGAAGAATCAACAAAAAAACTAACAATCTATGACCAATCATCTCCAAAATTTTATGGTCTTCCTAAAATTCATAAACCACAATTATCACTTAGACCAATTATTTCTTCAATCAATGCCCCAAATAGCAAATTAGCTTTGTTATTGACAGATATTTTAACTAATTCTTATGATAAAAACAATGAATACTATATAAAAGACTCATTCGATTTTTCACAATTTGCAAATGACAAATATTTACCTACAAATTATGTCCTAATTAGTTTAGATGTTGTCTCTTTGTTCAGCAATATACCTTATAAATTGGTAGAGATTAGTATAGGAAAACATTGGGATCAAATTAAAGATAACACTACTCTAACAAAAATCAATTTTTTAAAGATATTGGAGTTTATATTTGATACATACTTACTGTAAATTTGATAATGTTTTTTACAAACAACTATTAGGGACTCCAATGGGAGCTACTATATCACCTATAATTTCACAATATGTAATGGATGATCTAATTGATGCTTGTTTACCTAAATTATCTTTTGAAGTGCCTTTTTTAAAAAAATACGTGGACGACATCATAACATCAGTACCGAATGATAATATAGAAGAAATGTTAGAAATATTCAATAGCTATAATTCACATATACAATTCACTTTAGAAAAGGAAGAAAACAAAAGTTTACCTTTCCTAGATACGAAAGTAATTAGAAATCATGATAATAAAATAATATTAGATTGGTACTTCAAACCAGCTAGTTCTGGAAGATACATGAATTTCCATTCATATCATACCACTAAAACCAAAATTAACCTAATTATAGGATTAAAAACAAGGATTGAGAAAATTTCACATCCATCACTAAAAAACAATAATTTCAAAAAACTTTACAATATATTAATAAATAACTCTTACCCACCCAAATTCTTGAAAAAATTGATTTATAACACAATTTCTATTAATCCTTTGGAACATACAGATACAGAAAATAATAATAACACCGAAGATAGAACTCCTTTACCTACTAATTTACAAACTTATTATTTTTCTATTCCTTTTATAAAAGAAATTTCTAATAAAATCACCAAGTTATTTAAAAATACACCATCAATAAAAATCGCAAATAAACAAACTAAAACAATCGGAAAATTATTTACAAAAATTAAAGACAAAGAGGAAAATCTAAAATCTTCGAATGTTGTATATAGTATTCCTTGTAACCAATGTGAAAATTGTTATATAGGTCAAACATCCAGAGTTTTAAAAGATAGAATCACTTCTCACAAAAGTGATTGTAGATTAGGAAAAAATACTTCTATATTATCTACACATTTCAATGAATTAGATCATAGTTTTAATTATAATGAAACCAAAATATTACATAGGGAACAAAATTATAATAAAAGATTGTTTTAGAGATGGTTGAAATCTTTTTAAATAACAATTCTATGAATAAAAGATCAGACATAGATGATTTAAGCATTATCTATTCAAATATTCTAACAATGAAACCTATAAATAATAATAACTTCACTTATAGTCAAAATATATCACTT